GGACCCGATCCAAAGTTGTTCAAGCAAATAGCGAGATTTCCAGTGATTTCAGAAATCGCTGTTCTTTTGGTCAGAGCCTTAATCTTTCAGAAAATCATGAGTTTAATAGGACTATTGTATACAACAGTTCTTATGGAGTTCTCGCTTGTGACTAAGGGAGAAGAAGGTGGAGGTTTACTAAGTGGTTGTCTGTATTGTTTTACTTCATTGTCATTCTATTCCTTGTCCATCTGTTTTTGTAAATAAAAAGTTCAAGTAAATCCCCTTTAAAAGGTCTGCTGTTGTGTTAAGGTACTTAAAGTTTAAGATCTTTGTGTCAAAGAGCTTTTATGATAGAAGATTTGTCCAGGCATATCTTGTAATAAACATCTGGAAACTGCAGGGGTTGGCTAATAGTGGCTATATAGCTAGAGTACAGTTTAACTAGTTGGTTTTACATCAGGATTCAGTTTCCCCCTTGGTTTGTTTCGTTGTCTTTTTTTTTAATTTTTGTCAATTCACTTATTTATTTTGTAGTCTGAGTATTTATGTCCTACTGTGGTTAAATGGTCTTAAATAGCCTTCTGGTTGGTAGGTAGCACAAAACACCTCATCCTGGATTGATGCAGGGAGGGCTGTGTGAAAGCAGATTACATCTCTGCATGATTAACACTGACTAAGTGTCTGAAGAGCAAAGTTTCTCATCTTTAAAGACAACTTCCTCTAGTACAAAATATATAGGAAAATGAGCATTTCTAGATCAGTCAAAAGAAAGAGCTGCCACAGAGGTAATAAGCATCATTTGTATGTGGGCCAGAAGTTTAATTAGGATTTAGCAAAACAGAAAAGTAGAGCTTGAGCCTATCTGATATAAACCAGAAGTGAAAGCTCTTAAACAGTTTGGGGTGGGGAGGGAATTCAAGGTTTTTACAAAATTGAAAGGGAAAGACAGTGAATAGTTCCAGTAGTAATAACGAAGATGAGGAAGAATTGCAAAAAATACCATAAAAGAATAAAGAAATAAAAGTTTGCAAAAGCCTCAGAGGGAAAATTATGTAAGGAAAGTTCTAGCAAATATGAAGTAGTAATTCCTTCACTGCATTTATAGTGCTGTGAATGAACAAGAAAAACCAAAATCCATATTTTGGATGTGATGATGCTGAAGGGTAACGAGATATAATGGCAAGAGTCACCATCAAAGTTCTCAGATGACAATAGGAGGCTTTAGAAAATAATTTTAAGTGTATGACTTAATCGGTAATTCTTGGAGAATTATTATCACTGACAGTCCAGGAACAGATTAATTGAGTGGACGTGCAGGAATAAAGTTATCATCTCCCAAATTTAGCTGCACTTACCTAAAGCACAGCTTGACTCTTACAGACAAAATGGGGCTAGGTCAGTCAGGGTGGACGTGAGTGGAGTGAGTCAGCCCTTGGGCAGAGGCACAAACACAGATTCAGTCTTTTGAGCAATGAAAACAGCATTTCCACATGGCACCAGAGCTTATTGGAGTGACACCAAGAAAGGTTTACCAGGAGCACTGCACTGTCAGTGGTACCATGGAGATGGTGCTGACTGAGGACCCAGAGGAAGATGGTTCACCTCAGGACCTCGTTGTCTCTCAGAAATCCCCTCTGATTATTCCCCACAGGCCTTCCAGCAAAAGGAAGGTTTTAATTGCTTTGAGGAAGAAGGAGAAAAATAGAGATGGAAATGAGAAATGCATGTGGCTACAGATGCTTGCAGGTTTTCACTGTAAGTCCCTTTGTTCAAAAAGTCCTCAGCCCCATTTGACTCTGAAGGAGGAAAAAATGTGATTCTGAGATATATAAAACTAATTTTGTTCTCATTTGTGTGAGAAGATAAATTGTGATACTTATGAAACTTATTTCATTTTAATTGTGTATGCTAAAATATGTTTAGCATGCAGCATGGTTCTAGATTTAGTCCTTGAAAGTTTTTTTTTTTTGCTCTGTGCATTTCACCTGTACTTCCAGTCTGGAAAAAAAAAAAAGGCAGATTATGAAACTGCAAGCATTGTCTCACTGTATTTCTCTGCTGTGTTACCTCTGTTTTTCCTGAAGAGGCCTGCCTTAAGAGGCCACACTTTCTAAGCCCATAGACTGTCTTGTATCTCAAACTGCTAATAAATGCCAACTAATATTAATTACGGCATCGATGTGTGGTTCACATTAAGAACAGCAGAATTACTTTTAGAACTGGAGTGGATGCAGTGTGTTGCAGCACTGTGAACTTGTAGCAGGTCTTCTCAAATAGTGGTCAGCCATAAATAAACCTTCTCAGACCAGAACAGTGCAGACTTGAGCATTTTGAGGTTAATCAGCGCTCACAGGGTGCCTCTCCTTCCATCATCAAGCTTTTAACAGAAAAGAGTGCAGGAAAAAGCCACGTACAGGCATCATCTAAGTTTGGGCTTTTGTTTACCCTGTGCAACCTGTGGACTCAGGCTTTTATCTGTGTCCTGAGTCTGTAGTGAGAGAAGACTGTAGGAGACGTTAGCATTGCCCTTCTCCCTTCCACCCAGAGTAATTTGGAGGGGATTATGGGAGTGCTCGGGTGAGTTCACTGCCCTGAGCATGTGGGGAGCTGGATGGGATCCCTTGTCTTTTCTCTCCCCTTTCTGTTTTACTGATGTCCTCCTCCTAAGCCCTTTTCTCTTTTTACTCCCTGCTTTCCAAATGTGATTGTGGCATCACTTTATTGTGTACGGAGGTGACTTCAGACCTACATGGTTTGTGTTTTTCTCTCTTTGCTGGCTTGACAGGTTGTGTGGAGCCTACTTGTCCACAGAAACACTTAAGTGCCCAAGGTTAGCAAGTGGGGAATATGCCTTGAGCCTTCTACCACAGAATTCCATGTGCTAGACCAGACATAATACATGCCTCAGATTCAATAACTCCAAATATTTTAGCTACATAGATGTATGCTGCTAATGAAGGAATGTAGTAAAATTTAATTTTACTATTGTAATATGCAGCATGGATTTGTTTTTTAAGTTGAAATGGTTATATGTAGGATCAAATCCTTCAGAGAATTACACACTTAAAACCAAATTGATTCAGACAGCTTTTTTCATTATCGAAAAAAATCTAAAATACTTTTTTGAAAGTGGCAGAAATGAAGTTTAGTTCTGGTTTTCACAGTTCCTGTGATGATGTGAAAGAGTGGAGTTTAGTTTAATTGACCGTGCACAATGTGTTTGCACATTACTAATTTTAAAATCCAAGGCTTAATGTTAAAGTTAGAATTTGAATAAGATAAGTAGACAAATACAAATTTTTTTATATGCACTAAGCTTTTCACTTCCTATGATGCTGATGCTTAGATACCTTATTTAATGACAGTTAATACAGTGATACTGATTTTGTCCCTGCTGTGTTCATTATTAACCCCAGAAGGTAATGGAAATTTTATTAGACTTGGTACTGGATATTAATACTGTGCCTGACTATGTTATGAAAAAAATGAAGAAAGAGCCTGCAAACATTTGTAAGTTAATTGCCTGACTTGGAATCCACTAACGTACATGAGCAACATTTACTCACAGAGATTGTCTTAGCAAATTGAAAATCTCTCTGAAGGGTGGTTGTACATAAAGGCCATAAATCAACACCTTTATGCAAAGTCTAAAAAATGTTAATGGGAAGGCACCCACAAGGTATTATGGAAACTTAGTAAGTTTTCATGAACAGTATTTTTAAGTCATATATAATTAAATAAAGGAACTGGTCAATGTTTAAAAATAAAGAACCAGAAGTTGAGCTTAGTTTGCATATATATAAAAAAAAAATAAAAATAGAATCTGGAGCAGCCATCACCTCATGGTAGGCACTTATATTCTACCTGACAAGAGCAGCGACCATGTCCATGTTCCTTCACACCTGGTACACCACACTCAGAGGCTGAGTTACATGTGCCTGCACGGGGGTTTTTCATTTCAGCTGTGCCTTGTGTGCCTGAACAGTGTAGTGATCCCTAATGGAGACAATGACAAGCTGATGGCCAAACACAATTCCTGTCTTAGGAAAGATGACTTCTTATACCATCTACACATGGTTATCAGTCCCCATCTGGGCTGGTTTATTTGGATGCCTGTAGCCAGGTGCAAAGAATCTCTCCAAGCTGGGTAGAGGATTTGGGAAGCTGACAATCATGTCAAGGGAAGTTTTCCAGGAGGGTGCATGTGCGAGGGAGGATGCAGTTGCAAGGCACATGGTGTCTTTGCAGCATCTAGTGCTGTTGTGGTTCTTGTTTGTGGATCCTGGTGTAGGGAAAGAGGTCCATCCCAGTGGCCTAGGGGATAGGAGAGGCTGAGGGTTGCCTTGTAGCCAAAATGTGGGGTTGCTTTCCCTTGTGACCTGGGGGGGACCTCTCCATCTTTATTCTGAGTGCATGAAGCCCCTTCAGCACTAATGCATGTTCCTCCCCAGGTTCCAGGAGTTCCTGTGTGCCCAGCTGGGGAGGATGAGTTGAGCTGTGCAGGTGGGAGGGTCAGTGCAGCAGCCTGAGGTGGCCAGTGGGGCTGCCCTGCTCATGCTGGAGATAAACGTGGGTGGGATTGTGTGGTGGCAGGTTGTGTGCAGCCCTGTGACTCATGGCATGACATCACAGTGGGACACCCACATCCCAGGACAGTGTCCCTGGACCACAACCTTTGGAGAGGACTGGATAACACTGGAACTGCTCTCACCAGCACGCTGCTGATGCAGGAGCTGCCCTGCTGCCAGGAGGCAAAGGGAAGCTGTGGGAGAGTGTTGGAGGCATCACTTGGAGAAGCGTTGAGAGGGAGGAAAGGAGCAGAGGGATTCTGAGCACAGCAGGCACCTTTTCTTCTCTGTATTGTAGGATCTGCCCTGCTGCCAGGAGACAAGGACAGACTTTAGGAGGGCATTGGAGATGCTGCTTGGGGAGAAGCATTAAGGAAAGGAGAGGAACTGAGGGGTTTTGTAGCAGGACAGGAACCTCCTTCTCAGCTGCTGCAGTGCAGGGGGGCAAAGATGCAGAACTACATGCTCTATAGTTCTGTAGGGCCAGAGGAGCTCCCAACCCTCAAGGAGCTCAGCACTAGTGGTAAGGTCAGGGGCATCCCTTGCAGAAACACTGTCAGGGCCAAGATTACATGGAGATGAGCTGTGCAAAGCCTGAGGGGACTCTTTTGGACGGCACAGGCTGCAGTAAGGAGAGCCCTGCCTTGTGGTGCCTTGAGGCTCTGGGGTAGCTTTGACAGCTGTGATGTCCCACACTTAAGGGGAAGGGTGATGCTCATGGTAGAAAGGAACAACAAAAGTCAGGGAATCCACAAAAACTCGTGATGTTTTATTAGTAAATTACACACTTGGCATGGAGATTTCTGTGTTAGTTTCTGATGTACTATATAAGCGCATGGCAGTGGGATTTGGATAAATGGGTAAGAGAGAAGGGGAAAGAAAGGAAGAGATGAACTAAAGAGGAAGAGAGCAAGAGAAAGAAAAAGAAAGGAAAAAGGGAAGGAAGGAAAGAATCAATCACCACTTCTGGTTCCAGTATCAGCCCAGCCAGTGGGATGTCCTGGGGGCACCACCTGGGCTTGCTGGGGTAACCTTTTTATAGACAGGTTTCTGCACCCCAAAGAGATTTCTCGCTTTCTACGCAAATTAGTTATCATCTGCAGTCTTTCACACCTTTCTAGAAATGGGTTGAAAGGCTTCAGGGATCTTGAATGTTCTTCTTCCCCCCCTACAGTCCATGGTCACTTCTTGATCTCATTCCTGTACTGGAACTATACTGCGTTGTGCTTATCCCCAGGATGAAAAACAAGGATGTTTGTCCCAGAAAAGTGCTCCTCTACTTCCTCATCGCCCCCTTCTCCAGCCATATTTTGTCCTTTCCCATGGCGTGCTAATACCAACAATCCCTGGTTACTACCAACAATCCTTGTGCATTATCAACAGTCCTTACTAGGCTCCACAACCATCTGGCTATGGGTATTTGAGACATACACATGATAATCATCTTCTGGGATTCCACAGTAGTCCAGGCCTCCAGGAACTGTTAGGGTCTAGGAGTGGAAATCCCCTTCCCAGAACTACTGCCTGCCTTTCCTTCCCAGGCCTATCATAGACACAGCGTAGATTGCTTTGAGCCTTACGGCAGTCAGGAATACAGTTGGGCAGCCCTGCTGATGAGAGTGCTTACTCAGGGCAAGGGGGGCTTGAGGGCGCTCCACTCTCACCTGTATGGGCACAGAGGGTGGTGCCTGTTGCTGAATCAGAGCATGGCAGGGCTTTTTCTTTGCTTTTCAGAAGTCTGCAAAGTCTGGACTGGAGCATCTCGCTACATCCACAGACAGCTCTTGCAGAAGAGGGTGAGTCCTGCCTGCTGCACGTGCCTCACCCTGTCCCTCTGGGCCTCCAGAGCAGGGCCCAAAGTGCCATCCCCAGGGCCATGCCAGTCATGTGGCCGCCAACCCACCTCTGGACAGCCCTGCCAATGCTCCCTCCTCTTGCTTGTGTTTCCAGGCAGTGGACATTGGAGTTGGGACATTTGCACTTGTCCCAGTGCAAGCTGTTGTGGAAGAGGGCAAGGTTTTGACTGTTGAGAGACCTGTGTTCATTGTAAACAAACATCTGAGGGCATTCTACCACCTTGAGTGTGACGAAACCAAAATTCCTGGTAAGAAGATGGAATACTTTCCCTGCACAGGCTATGCATTTGGCTTGTTGCCAACAGCTCTGACATGGCCAAGGAAAGGCACATCCAACCTGGAGAGTGCTGAGTGTGGGCACACACAGGGCAGCCCAACACCCTGCCCCTCCCTGGGGAGCCAGCCTCATCTCCCCAGCTCTCCCTGTGCTCCAGCTGGTTGATTGCAGCAGGAGGCAAAGCTTTGCTTGGCCTCTCCTGACCAGCAGCTCTGTTTGGGAGAGGTGGCTGAAGTTAAAAGGGGAGCACTCTCTGGCAGAGTGTTGCCTGAGGGCTCGACACTGATGACCCCTAACCTTGGAATCGGCTGAAATGTGATGGCAGACACCCTGTTACTTTGTGCTTGCGTCCTAGATGAGACACCTGTTGTTCAGCTGGACTTTGGGGAGATTGCTGCAGACACCCACTTCCGCCGAGAAATTGCGGAGCTGTGTGTACATGAGACCCTGCTTATCTTTGCTGAGGCCCTCCGAGACAACAAAGAGGTGGAATTCACCTTCAAAGGCATTGGTATCCTTGCCGTGCGAGGAAAAATGGTCAGCATGACCTTCTTTGATCGCTGCCTGCTGAAGCTGGATACGACAGAAAACATGCTGAAAGCTCTTCTTGGGGTGAGTTTGTCATTTCTGTGGGATTCCTCTTCATGGCTCTGTGGCAACACTGTCAAAGCTTTCCTGCTGCCTTCTCTCAGCTGGCATGACCTGCCTCACCACCCAGCCTAGATGCTCCTGATGAGCTCAGCCAAGTCTGGCAGCGTGTCGGCTCCTTTGAGGGAGGGTCTAATGACACCAAGGGAGAAGGTGGTGTGAGGCTTTCTGGCCTTTGTGTCTCTGAGCAGCAAGGGGCTTTGCCACCTTTGTGGGCAGCCAGCATGTTTCTGGGTGTCTGCTGAACTGTGGCTGTCCCCTTCCAGGACTCGAACATGATGAAGATTGTGGCCTTTCCAGGCCAGAATGAT